TGCTGCCCCCTAGCGGAAGGCGGCCCCGTCCGCGCCCTGCGGCCCGCCGGGGGACGTGTGCGGTGTGTCTTGCCTCCGGATTGTTTCAGGAAAGGTGCCGCTCTGCTCAGTGACACACTTCTCCAGGGTGTTAAGTGCGGCGTCTCACACACTGAAGGACGTTATCGAGAAAGAGGGGTTTGCTGAAGTTTTGTTTTGTTTTTCTAGCTTGAGTGTCTAGATAAGAAAGCGGTTTATCAATGCGTGTGCTATGCAAACTGGAGCTCACACAACCATGCTTCGCTGATCATGTCAGCCTTGATAGGAATGTTGGTTTTATACATAATTTTCTTCACTTAATTAGGAGAATTCTGTTTTTAAAACTGGGTGGGGGCAGGGCAGAGGTAAGAGGAATGAAGAAAACAGAGTTGTTTTCAATAACCAGTAAGAATCTTTCCCTGAGTCAGTGCTTTAGCTTGGTGAGAGTCTGCTTATGTTCCATAAGAATCTCTGTGTCTGTGTAAGCTGCATAAAATACTCTAAGCTTAGTTTCCTCTCAGAAGAGGTCACTGTGAGAATAATGCTCATAAATCAGTACTCTTTTATCTGTCGTAACCACACAGGAAAAAAAACAAAAGTGAAACTAATAATCTTTTAAAGGGGGGAAAACATTTCAGATGGTTAAGCATGTTAATATGATGCTTCTTCAGTTTTTAACTGAAACAGGATTTCATAGATTGCAGAGCCTTAGGAGCTTTGCAGTTACTCCTGGTTTTAGATAGAATGCACTCAGACGTTATCAAGAGATCTGTGAGTGGACCTTAAATCTGCCCTTACGTTAGACAGAAGCTAAAGTAAGTATATTTTTCAAATGTACTAATACACCACTTCTCAGTATACACGCGTATGGAAAATGTGCATGGCAGGTGATTTAGACAGTTCTTTATGCTACTAGGTTTTGTCAGACTTACAGAAGCGATGTAACAGCTCATTTTTTCTCTAAAGCCTAACTTACACAGATCATAGGTTCAGCAAGCATGTACATTCATGGCTGTTAACTTTTCCAGTTATTCATATAGATTATATTCCACAGATTTTTGTCACATTAATCTCAGTGGGGAAAAAAAATAAATAAATAATTTTAAAAACAGTCAAAGGCAGGGTTCCAGTTGTAACAGTACAGCATGTGGGTAATATAGCAGTACATATGGTCCCTGTATTGGAAGGTTTTGAGTCCCCCCCTTGCCTTCCTGCAAATAAAGAAAAACATGTATTGAAGATTGGGTTAACTCTGACCTTTTGAAAGATTTGCATGTAAAAAGCTTTTGAGAATACCAAGGGGCAGTAGAGTTTTCTGGTTTGCCTTGTTACATTTCCCATATTAAGGATGAATTCTACAAGACCTTTGGAAATACAGCTTTTTGTATAAAATTATTGCATGGCAGAACTAGCTTGTATCTGTAAGAATAAATATTGGACAACCATTGAGCAAATTATAAGCGCTGATACTTGTTGAGTAAAGATGTGGTAAAGAGCAAATTGTTATGAAACTTGAAATACACAGTAGCCTTCCTTTAAATTGCTGTGTGGAGCATTAACTGACTTGCTTTTTATGAAGGTTTTTGCAAGGTCAGTAACTGTTTCATTTGACTTCAAGGCATTTTCAATCAAAACTGTCATCAAACTTCTATATGTTCTTACAGAAACCTCTCAAACTCCACTGACCTCAGGATTATCAGGAAAATGTCAGTTTTCCTTCTCCCTAAAATACAAACCTTGTGTTTTGCTTCATGATTTGTTCATGAAGTCCTTCATTCTGTGATGTGATGGACTGTGCTGCCCTGTACACTGCCAAGTTACATTATTGAGATAAATTACAGTAGATTCAAAGATGAGTCATGACAGTAGTGCAGTATGTCTGATGCATTGGCAGTAAAACACTTAAAACGTGCTGGGAAATCTGAGATACCGTGTGGATAAAGTGCACTTAAATATTAATTTTATGTAGATCACAAACAAGGTGGCAAAGTGAAGACAATTGCTAGTTACAAAAAGGGGAGCAGAGGGGGTGAAGTTTTACTCTTGCTTCAGTCCCCACTTATGTTTTGGGTCTTTGCTAAGAGTCAACAACATAAAAAATTGTAGCTCTAATTAGGAACTTTGTTTTCTTTCTGCGTATTTTTGTGAACAAGCAATAGTGTAAAATTGTGTATGGAACTCTTGTGTACAAGCCATGTCCTTATTTTGTTGGCTGCTCATGAATTCAGATATGCCAGTAACTTAAAAATGTTATTCCAAAGGTTTGTTTCATCTTCTTTGCTAGAAAAAGAAGGCACCACTGCCAAGACACCACTTCGAGTCTTCTAGCCATTCTCATCATCTTCATCACCAGTTGCTGAAAAACATTAGCTTATAAATATGACTGAAGTTATTCTCAGAAGTTTCTTTTTTACTTAGCTGATAGTAACTCTTCCCATTTTTAAGTTAGATAGTAGAAGCTTAGAAGAATGCCTAAGATCCTAGCCACGTTCATTTGACTGCTTGCTATATGTATTGTCTGTCATTGGCATGCTCAGGGAGATGTGCAAGGGGAAATCATCTTCAGATAAGAGCTGTTTCTTTAAGCTATTGCATATGTGTGCCAGTGAGAGATCACCTTCAGGGCAGTGAGTATCTGCTATGCTTTTAGTGTCTCACGGTGGCAGCCAGAACTGTTTGGGAATTTTCTGACAAAACTCTTTCGTATTATGACTGATGACTAGTAGAAACTGAAACTTGTTGTGAGAGCACAGGTGCTGAATTTAGTAAGAGTTCTCTGGTCCAGAATGGAATGTCTCATCAGATCTGAAAAAGAGACAGAGACCATGAAACTGTTCGTGCCAGCTGCCCTATTAAATTATGTACTATGAAGCTATGTTCTTGTTGCAATTTTAAGTATTCCTGCCATCGAGCTGTTATGCTGGATATGTCTGCCCTGTTGAAGCTGGTCCACTGTTGCGTATGTGTAGTTTGGTACGTATGGATTAGAATGTATACCTGACACTCATGTTCTGAAATGCAGGTGAGTACTTTAATCTGTACAGCCATCTTAGCCGCTCTGTGGCTCAATCACTAATTTCATTATTTTTGCACGCTGGAACACCTCTTGAAGGAGCTTGAGAGCAACAGAACTTAATACAGCCAGCGGAACTTCAATTAGTATGTTTAACTGGAATATCAGAGTTTGGGATATCAGTATAAATCGGATGTACAAGTTTCGATCCATACTTCCTTCATACGAGTTGACCTTCATACGAGTTGACATGCTTGTTGATGGGGCTGTTGGTTCTTCAGGGGCAGAAGGAATAATGAGGCTCTATGTGTAGGATTTATTATTTAAAAGCACATTTTCTTCTTATGCTCTTCTTTCATCCTGTGTCTCCTGAAAAGCGTCACCTATGTGTGAAATAAAAACCATTTGTAAAATTGACTCTGGTAAGTAATTATCCACAGGGCTAGTTATCAGGCAAGGCCAAGAGGTCTTTTTGCTCAGCCACCCATGTTGGGGTGAAAAGGGAGTTCAGAGCAGCCAAAGCACACTTAATCCTTTTTGTTTTGTCTTCTCTTTAAGCACTGGATGTATTTTGGGAGTAGGACTTGTTCTTTCACTTCTGAGTCACAGTAGCCAGACAGAATCGCGAGTGCATGTTTCCGCTTCATTGCGAAAACTCTGCAAATACCTGGACAACAGTGAGGACCAAAGCAGATGGGTCCAGGAGGTATGACCTATTTTATCACAAATTTTAAATCTTTCTTTTACTTTGTTGCCTCCCTTTAATAACTGTAGTCTTTTTACTGAAGCTTTGTATCTGTGGTACTGGAATGCTTGGTTTCTATTCTTTTTTTCACAATATATACTTTCATATCTGCTGAAGAAAACAACAATTATAATAATAATAATAATAGAATCACCTGCAATGCTGCACAAACATTAAGAAACTGCCTGAAAAGATAATGGACATAATTCTTTAAAGTGCTTCTTTAATTCCTTAACCTCAAATTAAACTGTTGAAAGTTGGGTCTCTCTTATATACAGTTGTTTACTGCTCATTTGATCTACTAGAAAGCAGACAGCAAGTTACTCTCAGAGAGAACCTTAACGCTAATACTTCCTCCTTCAATATGCCTGCCGTTTCCTTCTTTGAAAGCTGCTGTCACTAGCTAATGTGAATCTTGCACTTGTGAATGCTGCTGTGGCCTCATTTGCTGTTCTCTGTATAACTATGTTTTGAAGACTTAAACTGAGCTCTGCTAAGTTTGAGCATGCATTTCAATTTATTGAGCATGCATTTCAATTTATATTGCCAAGATACGTTCCTGTAAGTTTTGACGTGGTTCATGTACTATGTCTATAACCTTGTTGAGGTAAAACTTGACAACAAAAACTGATGAAATTGGAGGAGTTTACAACAGAAAACAAGAATCGGAATAAGCAGGTGTTTTGCACAAAAAAAGCAACCTTGTACCTAATGTATGTAAGCCTGCAGCTGCTGAGCAGCTGAGTTGCATAATCCTCTGTTTTTTCTAAGGGAGTTAGCAGAGATTGGTGTTGTTATTCTCTTTCTCCTCTTGGTACTGCTCTGAAAGATCTTTCTTAAAGGTCTTCTTTTATGGAATTTAATTTTTTTGGCAGTACAAATGTGTTGGGGATTAGCCCTTTGCAGTTTGTTTCATGCATTAAAATGACTTACAGCTATGAAATCATTCACCTTTCCCCAGAGATCTCAAAGTGCTTTACTGAACTTAAGCTGGGTACGATACAGCAACTTCTCAGATGAAAGGCAGCAGCTGTTTAACATCATGAGATAGTTTGGGATGAGAAGCAAAACCTACCCTTTTCAATTAAAATCTCTGTAAGGAATTGTACAGATAATTACATGAGTAGAATTTGGCCAGCACCCTAGGATGAATACTACTATATTTATGAGATGCACAAGAGGCTCTTTCAGAGCTATAAATGGCTGGGATATAATCCTGTACTCGAGAGGTAACTTTGGCCTGCTGCAGCAAAAGGTACAATCTGAGCATTACTTGCTCCAAGTCAAATTGTTATCTATCCTGCACAGTAAGTAGGTGCTCTCTACTTCCTTTATAGTCATGTGTTGTTCTGTTGCTTAGCTCTGGTACAAAGGAGATTAAACAGTTGGCACAGTTGCCTTGTTGAAAGTTCAGGCTTCATTTCCTATTCTCCACATCTAAGGCTGAAGAACAGAAAAGCAGTGTCACTTGTGAATCCTCCTGCAAAGACATAAGGCTAATGTCATGCACTGTGTGTGGGAGATAGTTCTACTACATGCTCCTGTTCTCACCTTTTGGACCTGCTTGTAGCACTTACGGGATCACAGCATGCTGTGTATGCTCACATAGTCGTCAGATACTTGTGTTGAGAAGAATAACTACATAAGTGTGGAAGATTGGGAGTTTGACCTACATAAAACCAGAAGTACTTCCAAGCTTTAGTTGTATTTGTTTAATGTTAGCATCAGTGAAGAATCTTTCAGAGAGGGAACAAATATCTGAAAGTAGAAATTGAAAATGTCATGGCTTTTTTATCATGCTGGCACGTTGCTCCATGTGCACATTGCAACAGTGAATTTGATCAGACACTGGTTAACACAATTAAATGATTTTTTTTTTTTTCAGGTACTTGCCTATTCTGTGGCCTGTTCCTGTGTCTCTGCTTTCAGTGTTGGAATTATAGAAGCAGCTGAGGCTGAGGAGGCCATGAACAAGCTACGGACCTTAGTGGAAAATAATCAGCAGGTCATAGTTCAGTGTTTGGTCTTTGCTTCAGTTCTGTTTTTCCCTTACCTATTTAACACTGCTTTACCCAGACTGTAACTTCATGAAAATTACATTGATCTACTTTCAGCATTAACTATAACATTGAGCATGTTGTGCATACTGTGCAATTACCAAGACTACCACTTGATCAATTGATGCATTGTCTACAGGTGTATAGCAATTACCAGATAGTGAAATAAAACCAGATTTTATATGTTTGATTGCATTTAGAAGGGAGGTTGGTACTTTTGACTTCTTCATGTCTTTAGTCCCTGCATCCTGCCAATTTTTGTCTCTTATAGTGTGTTTCTTTAGATTCTTTTTCTTGGTAGGAAAATACATCTACTCTGCTTTTTGAATTTTTGCTTTCCCTTAGCCTCCAGACAGTGCATCATAACTACAGCCACAGCTTCCTCCAGGTGTCTGTCTCATCCCTAGTGTCCAAGGGTTAAGCCCTAAAAATGCCGAAATAATCTCCATATTTCAGTGCATGTTCTTTTTTGGTTAAATGCTTGCCAGAAAAAAAGGGAAGGAAAGAAAAGGGAAAAGAAAAAAAAAAGGACAACATTTTTGAATCAAAGCCTGCTATTACACTAATCAATGGTTTAGAATGTTTATCCGGAAGTTAAAACAAACTACCTTTGCTACAGCTTTTCATGTTTGTATGAGAAAATCTGCTCTAAAATAAAGGCTCCAGAGCAATCTGTGTGCCAAAGATCAGTATTTAATCTCAGAAAACCTGTGTGTCTTGACATGATAAAATACTGGAAATAAGAGAGAATCCAGTATTTTAGACAAAGACATTACTTCTAATTTATTGGGAAATAATAAATATTTAAGTAATGTTTCAATAATAAGTATTAAAAAGAATACAGAATCCTTTGGAAGATCTGTTTTTTAATGTGTCTTTTTTACCTTATAGACCCACGGTTTTGCTTTAGCTCTAGGTGCAATAGTACATGGATTGTCAGCTTGTGGTCATGGGAAAGCCGAAGACCTGAGTAACAGACTAATGCCAGCCTGGATTAAAATCGTGCTTGCAGAGGTAAAGGAGTTTGAATTCATATCCTGTTTTTTGTGGGAGCAGAGGGAGGGTGGGCAGTGATTTTAAATGAAGAGTAGAGACATAATTTTCCTTGCTTCTGCAGGCGTGATGCTAGGAAAAGTTAGGACTATCTGAACATGATGTTTGATTGATATTTGGAAGCAAAAATACATCTTTGGGCTGTTTGCTAAAGGGAAAAAAAAGTTTCTCTTCTGCTTGGATGGTTTATGGGAAATGCTTGTCTCAATGAGATTTTAATTTGGACATCTTTCCTAATTTGGAACAATATGCAAGGATAAAATCTAGGTTATTAAATGAAGATACCTTGTGAAATTAGGTGCTACTTATCAAAATTAGACTTAAAAGAATGGTGATTATAGTGCCTCAGTTGTTGTAATAATGTTGTTGTTACAATTTATCTCATTGTAACTAAAATTGCATGTTTGAAATCGAACTCTAAACTTACACATTAAGATTGCAGCTGAAGGTAAGTATTAATGAAGAAACAATGTTTCAGAGTTGAATTGCACTGTCATATTTTGTGGAATACAGACTGTGCTAGAAGAATGTGATTTGTCAGGGAGAAATGCATGATGATTTCAGATTGGGGGGGGGAGTGGGGAGAAGCTCCATATAACGCCTTCATTCACCAAGAGAGGGATGAATAATTACCCAGGATGCTGCAGTCTGACCTGAAAAGGTTGTTGGGATGAGAGGTGTGCAGTCATGATAGCAGTCATAGTTTTTAAGTTGGAAGAAACAAGTGTTTTGTCGTACAGTAGTGTCATGTGACCGCATTGACTCACTGACCCTGAATTACGCTTCCAGGGTTCTCCAACAATGCAGCGTCTGGCTGCTGTCAGTGGGCTGGTTGCACTGGTGGGCTCTGAAGGAGGCATGATACAGGTGAGAATATGCAACCTTTATCTCTTTTAGAAATTTGGTTAGAAGGCAAGATGGAATGACATCCTCTGCATCCTTACAGCAGTGGTTATATACCAGGGCATACCTTTTGTGCAATAGTGAGTCATGTTGGGTATGAACCAAACGGGATAGAATTACAATGTATAAAATGGGGTCTGTTCCATTTTCCCATCATATGGCCCACGTGCAGTGCCACTGGGGAAAAGTTTACAGCCATGTAGGCTTTCTTCTTTTCTCTTCCACTCCCACACAAAAAGGCATGTGTGCAAATGTAATCTGTCTTTTCAGCACCTGATCTCTGTTTTGTTGTTTCTTTTTTTCCCTTATAAAATTCACATCATTTTTTTTTCCCTTTGGCAGCTGAAATCTGAGAGCATTCAGTCTTCCCATTTTCAAAGTAAGCTGAATGAAGTCATCAGAACCCTTACACAGGTAAGAAGGTAGCCTCTGTTTCCTGCTTTGGATAATGCACTAAGGTTGACACCTTGTGCAAACAGGCCAAATCTGTTTAAAGAAACTGCATAGTGTTTGTGTCCAGCTTGAATGAAGCAATGCAGGGAAATTTGTCTAGTCGTTTATTGTCTCAACAGGTAATCAGTTTTTCGGGGCAGATTGGCCTTCAGGCAAATGCAGCAGGACTTTTGGGACGCCTTCATATGTCCTGTTTGTCTTCTACCCAGAACAGGGCATCCGGTAAGATGCTTTATTATTGCTGCTTAAAGAACACATGGAAGTGGCACTTAGCTAAAAAGGCAGCAAGGGACACATTAGACGATATTGCAGCCCTGTTAAATGACATGACAGCCTTTGAATCGGGCACCTCATGGTCCCGTGTGCCAGACATAAAGGTTGGAACATGAAGCAGGAGTCACTGTGCTGAATAGGATCCCCCAATATCCTTTTACTTGCAGTGTTAAAGTAAGGTTCTAAGTTGTTCTGGTCAAACTTGTATATTGCTTCTGTCTTTATTTATTTTATAGAATAAATTGTGAAGAAGTTTTACACTGCATATGGCACATGTGTTTGACATCTACATTATCCACTCCGTGTCCTGAGAACTGATTAATCATCTCTTTATTTTAGCAGTTCCCACTGTATAAAAAAGGCAACACTTAAAAACTGGTCCATAAGAAGAGGAAGCTGACTTTTCAAAAGTATTTTTCTAGAAGAGATCTTCTCTGGTTAGCTAAAGCAAAAAACTAGTTTTCCGTGCCCTTTCAGTGTAGCAGTTAGCACAGAAACTCATATTCTGTTGATACATCATTACCTTCTGATGTTGTTTCAATAACCATTAGTAAAATAAAGGCAGGATTACACCATTGATGAAATACCAGTAATAGGAGGGAACTAATGAAGTGGGAGCTGTTCACTTCAGTGTGAACCAAGTTGGGAACCAATAATACAAAGTATAGATAAACTTTCTCATTACAGAAAAAAGATTCTTGGAGTTTCTACTTTTGTATAATCTTGGCACACATGCCTGAGGTTAGATAGACGTGGAATGTTTCTGTTGTATTAAACTTACTAAGCTTTTGAAGCTCTCCCTTTTAAAGCCTGACTTGCAGTGGCTGATGTATTTTAAGGAAGTTCTTCTCCCTGGCTTTTCATTTGGCCTGTGAATTTGTTTTCTGAGACCGGGCACCTCTCACCAATACAAATGTTTAGTTTGCCTTAGAAGTGGAAAGGCCAATGCATCTATCAATAATCTTGCAGTCTAAATGCTTTGAGTCGCTTAGAGAATTAGTTAGCTTGAACATAGCTCAGTTTGGCCTTTGAATTTACATGTGAGCTGGAGGTTATAATTTCTGCTGAAATGTTTTAGTATATAAACAGTCTTTGTCTTCACAGTTCCTCCAGATTTTAGCTACTTGCCTGAAAACAGCTTTATCAGGGCAGCCATTGACTTTGCCATTGAAGGTGGAAAGAAAGGTAAGAAGGGATCAAACTACAGTATCCCTCTGGGAAATTTGTTATGGCTATAAAAGGTGACCCTAATAAACTGCTTTTATTTGCTAAGAGAGCTTTTCTAAATACTAATTTGAACTTCACTAATGTAGGATATATTTAATCTCTAAACAAAAAATTGAGTAACACTCGAAAAGATAAGGTAGAATCGTGTACTTAGGGCTTCAGTTGTCTCCACTGAATTTTTATGACTTTTTAAATCCTTTCCCTTTCCCTCTGTGTCTGTGAGATGATGTATCTTCCCTGTGGGAATGAAAGTCAAATCACTTTAAGTGTTAGCATGTATCCTCAGGAATACTTGATCATCAGGCAAACTTTATGCTGCCCCTTATTTTAGTGATCCTAGGTTAAGATTCTCTGTAACAGAGTGGTATTCAAATGGGTTACTGCTGTGTGTGATAAATGCAAAGGAACCTGAAGATCTCATGCTCTTACATGAGGAGTGCTAGTAAAAGAGAGATGTCTTGGAGTACAGTAAGGGATAAAGCAGAGGAGATTATTCCTGAGTGGAGCTAAGTGGGGTCACTGCTGTCCTATGAAGCAGGCTTTGCTTTCAATGGAGGTAAAAATTGCCCATGCCTTGCCTCCAGGAGGACTTTCACTAAGTTAACTCCCTGTGTTTAAGTAACACAGCATGTAGCAAAGGTTAGCACCTGTCTGACAATTTTTGTGGCATGCACCTACAGGATGGGAAAGGACAGCAGTGTCAGAAAACTTTGCTGTTCTCCTACTAATAAATGCAAAAATACTACCCTACTAGATGAGGAATATCTGTAAATTGGTTTAAGGAGAAGGAACCAGAAAGTTTCTATTTATCAGTAACAAAAAGCCTTTTTTGATAGGACATTAATGTTAAAAATACAATTGTTGATTACAAACAGGAGATAGCTAATTCTCAGATACAAAAAGAAATAACACTGATTTTATAATGCTTTTCAGTTCTTCACCTCAGATTGGTCTTCAGTGCAGTGTTGACATTTTTTCCTGAGCTGTTTAGCCAAATGTGTGTGTATAAAATTCAGACTGTGTTTGAACCTTTTGTTGTAGGCCCTGAGTCTGTCCCAACTGAGCTGGTGAAAGTAGCACTGGCAACCATTGCATTAGTTGGAGAAAGCCATCAGTATCCACCTGTAAACTGGGCATCCATTCTTTCTCCGTTGATGAGGCTAAACTTTGGTAAGATTAATAGTTTTCTATTAAGTCTTTTGTACTTGTCACAAGACTAACACAGCTTTCACAAACTTTAGAGCCCACTTCAGGGCTTGAAGTTATTGCAGGGATTGAAGTGTTCACTATACTTTCAAGACCAACTTTTTAATGTTTGCAAGCATGTATTTGTGATCACCGTGCGGACACAGTTTGTTTTAACTCAAGGAAAGACTAGAGAAGATCAGAGCTGAAAAGTTTGGAGCAGTATTGGAAGTTCCCTAAAACACTGGTGAAATTGGACCGGACTTTTCATTTGAACTATTTAAAGTAAGAAGAGCCCATCAAGAAACTCAACTAATTGTATCTTATTTTCAGTACCCACTAGGTGCTGGTCCAGTGCCTGTGTCAGAGGCTGCAGGCAGCTTTATCACAAGTTTGAACTGCTCTGTAGTTCATCTAGCTGTCACTAATCTGAAATACACTTTCTACTAAATTATACTGGGTGATGGAGGATAGCATATCCCTTTTTCCATCATGATCCTGATTTTGTCGGTGCTTCTAAGAGCATTTTTTCTTCATGCTGGAGAGTAGCATTGATCCTGAAGTATTGTGTTGGACAGCTTGTATAATACTTTTCTGCTCAGGATTATCTGTTGGTGCCTGTTTTGGTTGATATAAGTGTCTGAGTTTCAAACTAATTTCCTTAAAAAAAAAAAACCAACAAACTACTGTGCAAAGTTCCGTATTCCCTTGTTTGATTCCACTGAGTTTTGTTTCTTCTGATTTATGTAACTGTTATTACTGGCCTTGCAGATTCTTTTACAACTGGGTTGGGCAAGTGCTGTTGTGTTTAAATTCATATGCTGTAGAGTCCAGAATATGGAAGGTTGTTCTTATTTCTTTCTGGTGTTTATTTACTTATACAGAGTGCTTGTATAAGTTACTAGAAATCATTGAACTGTCCTATGAGGAACAACTCCTTGCTAAATACAGAAAGATTTGGCTACATATTAAACATTTTTGCTTATGCTTGAGCTGCAACTTCTGTTTTACTTGGTATTCTTGCAATTGATTCTGAAGTCTTTTGTAAGAATAAGAGAAAGAATTTCCTGTACTGAGCTCTGCAGTCCATGCTGATGCAAATTTGTGTGCGACTTTTTGAATAGCTGAAACTTGTTAAATGGATGGGGGATTTTTTTATTCCTGTTTTTCACTTACGAGTCTTACTTTTGTAAATCAGGGGAATTCCAGAGGAAACAGTGCATTGGATTTGTGGCTATGTTTTTATTGACTTCAGACAGCATCATAGTCTGCATTTTTATACATAGTTTCTCTTGACTGTCCCTCTGTAGTGTTGTGGAAGTTGCACACACTTCTCTAGATTATATATACATGCAGAAGTAGGTCTCGCTCTGTGCTAATGAGCAATATTCATGTTGTGCTAGAAAGTATAATGCAGAACAGTTGTATTATGACCTAACAATAGACCTGGAAATGTGGCACTCTTAACACACTTTCTCTGGAACAGCTATATCATGAATTTTTTTATGAGAATTAGACTACATGCTCAATTGTCTTGAATTCTCTAGGTCACTGTTATTCATGTCTGAGAATTCGTGACTGTTTTTATGAACCTTAAATGTTTCACAAATTCTACTGTGAAGATTTGTTCATCTGTAAACATATTGAAGACAACGGATTGCTTTCCCCTCTTACAAAGTTTACTGCAGTTGTTGCTGAGCAGAAACCATATAACATGATTGAAATAGTACCTGTTTGCTATTCAATAGTGCTCTGAAGTGAACAGTCATAGGCAAATCATCATCCGTGTCTTGGTAGTCCAAGCTAGTGAGAGAGAATTTTTGAATTGGTTACCAAAGTATCTTACTACAATTTCTGAGGGTGCAAATGACTTAACTTCTCGTATAAGATATTTTATTTTGAAGAGCCTGATACCAGACTCTTAAATATTTGCTTGTTCATGTTAGTTCATGTTCATGTTAGGCACTAATGTTAGTGAACTTTATAAAAGTCATGCTATATAGATTGCCACTTTCATTACCGAAAGAACATTTTAACTTGCAAAGCACCTATGTAAGTTTTATGGTTTTAAGTTTTAAGACATTTAACAGTAATGTATATTCTGTCCAATGGGTCAAATGCTAGTTATGACTAGTTATCCTGTTAACAAACAGGCTGTACCAGTCATTAAGGGGACTTTAAAGAGAAATCAGTAAGAATTCCATAACCATCATAACCTTTATGCATAGTAAAGTCTTCCTGCCTGTTAACCTGAAGAATGCTGCAACCAAGCACCCGCAGCAGTAACTGACTAACCTCTGTTCTGTGACATATTATATGAATATGGGGTACATGGAAGAGTAGAAACATGTGAACAAATGCTAATTACTCCTACATTTAGCAGGAAGGAATATTGATTCATTTCTCCTCCTGTAGATTAAATCTTCTCTTTATTTGGCAGGGAGTTTTTTATTTCTTACTTTTCTTATCATTCCCACATTTTTATTCTTGAGTGAATTGAAATGAACTTGGAAAAATCCTAAGATTTCTTGCTGAAAATGCATGAATGGGAAGAGGAGACTTCTAATATGTATGTGTCAAAAACTTTAAGCAGCATCTCTAGAAAAGCAAATTTTAATGTAGTGCTCTAGTAGAACAATAACCCTCCTTTATTTTATGAGTTGAGAACAAATTTAAAGTAAAAGTAATTTCTTCATAATTCTGTTTGTTTTCTTCTGCTTTAGGTGATGAGGTAAAACATCTCTGCCTTCAACTGGCTGTGACACAAGCCCAGTCATCTCAAAATGCAGCAATGCTTTTGGGGATGTGGGTGGCACCTCCCCTTGTCTACAGTCTCAGTGTACGTATGTCAGAAAATTTGTGGGACCTCAGCGCCTCTTTCCTGTAAGATTCGTCAGTGATGGTTTAGGATGTCTCACCAGAAAACAATTACTGGGTTCAGAATTCTGCAGAAATACTGTTTAGCAAATATTTATAGTGAGAGAAAGGCTATTTTGGGGCCTTGAAAGTCAAGGCAGACTTAAGATCTGCTACACTGGTTTTACTTAAATTGCTTAAGACTTTTTCCTCTCTCTTGTTTCATGCTATAGCTCTGATAACCTACAGATGTAAGAAGGCATGGCATGTAGGGAGAAAAAGTATCTTTTATTATACCAGCTCATAGTCTTAGAAAAAAAAAGTCCCACCTATCTGTCCAAAAGCTTGCCTGATACTTCCAGCAATGTCTCTTGATCTAGTAAAACATGTTACTTCTTGAAAACCTTGTCTTAATTCTGTAGATAGTCAACAGACGTAGCGTAATCAAATTTGGGCTTATCCTCCACTACAGTGCAGTTCTTACAGAGGTGCAGCATGGACTCCATGATACCATATCTTAAAATCCCTGAATCCCACAGTGCACTTGACTGTGCAGTTTTGTCAGTTTATACAAGTTGAGGAGCAGGTTCATGACAATTCTTAGAAAATCCATTGTGGATTTCTGCGCTTTTTTTCCAGTTCTTCAAGGGGTATTTCTGTCTTGAAATTTTTAATTCATTAGTCTTCACAGATATATAAATACTTGGCAATTTTAAGATACATAGAATCATAGAGGAGTTTGGATTGGAAGGGACCTTTAAAGGTCATCTTGTCCAATCCCCCTGCTATGGGCAGGGACATGTTCAACTAGATCAG